AATTAAATATTAAATAATAATTAATATTGAAAATATTAAAACATTTTTATTTATTGAGAAAAATAACGAATAGTAATACAAACAAAATAGTAAAAACAAATTTTCATTTCTGTTGTATTGTGAAAAAGTTATTCACTTTTTATAACTATTTATTTAAATTTTTTTTTTTTAATCTTCAGACCCTTTTTCTCAAAACAAGTACCACACAAAGCGTCGTAAACGAATATAGGAAGTTGCATTTCATTAAATGAACCGTTTAAAAACTTTTCCTAAAATATTTAAACTTTTTTCCATTTACAATTTAACTGTTTTGCGTGGTGACGCGTTTTTCTTAATAGTAAAATAAGTTTTTTGTGTATTTTTTTGTATAGTAATTTATTTATCATAACTTAATCAGATAAATTAGTTTCCATTGTTATGATTCGAGAAATGCTAAATCTACAAATAAAAACAATTTTTCTTTAAATTGTCAACATCAAATATAAATCAAAATTTTGAAAAATTTTAAACAAGTATTCACGATGTTTATTGGGAACTAGATGAAATAAAATTTGGCTTGAATTTTGTTGGTTGCGAAGATCTTTGTTGATTGCAATTAGATGAGAAGTTTAATCTAAAGCAGTGGACAAAAAATATCAAAAGTTTGTGAATTTTTAACTAATGTTCAAAAAATACTGGGAAAAATAATTTTAGAAATTGCTGAGCTAAAATTATAATAAAAAGAGCGTGGATATTGAAGACCAAAATAAATAAAATAACTTGAGAATTGACGGGGTTATTATATTACCTGCGATGAAAACGATTTAGAAACTCTTAGAGAAAAAAATGCATCTTTTTATCAAGTTTGAAAAATCGCTTTACATATGGGGTCGTCCATAAAGTCCATACGCCAAAAATTCTGAAATTTGAAACCCCCTTCCCCCTTGTTGCCATGCGTACTTTTAAGTCCCCGCTCCCCATAAAAGTACGTACATTTACATATCCCCTCCCCCCCCCCCACCCCAATTAAAAAAAAAGGTGGAGAAGATACCCTAGATACTTAGGTATTTAGGGTATCTTCTCCACCCTAAATACCTAAGTATCTAGGGTATCTAGATACTTAGGTATTTAGGGTGGAGAAGATACTTAACATAGGTTAAGTATTTAGGGTACCTCAAAAGTATTTATACGGCTCCAAAGTCCTTTGTTAGCGGCAAAGGACTCCAATTTAAAAAACATTATTAAATAAATACAAATATAAATTTAAATATAATTAAATCTTGTAATTTTGAAAAGATCGCCTGGCTGAGTGGATGATGTTATGAGCAGTGACAGCGGAGATCGGAGTTCGATTCCCAGCAAAACCCTACTTTACTTTTTCTGTTTAATGAGACGCATCAAATAAAAATAAACTATAGTTAAGGCAGACGTTTTTTTCATGTTTCAGATAGGACATTTAAACACATTGTGCAAAATCTAAACTTAAGTATGTTTATACCTATGCCAAATGAGAAGACCTTGTAAAAATTTGGTATGGCGGAGAACTGTCGACAAATAGCCCTGAAACGCTTGCCCACCTTCTCAAACATGAGGGCACTTACTGCAGTAAAATTTTTAATTTAACGATCTAAAATTAAATTCAAATTTATCGACAGAATTTAAATTTCATTGAAAAATATAGAAAATTACAAAATGTCCAACCCCTTATTTATATATTTTTTATTTGAGGGAGGGGGTCGGAAAATTTTACTACATTAGTGTCCTCACGTTTGGGCAGGGGAGGGGATGCAAGCATTTAAGGGCTTTTTGTTCCCAGACAACCGCCATAACATTTTTTTGCAAGGCCTCTTCAAATGGCATAGGTATAAACATACTTAAGTTTGTAGCTTGCACAATGTGTGGGAGTGGTTTATCTAGAACATCAAAAAATCTTGCGGGCGCCCATGCATGTGTGTGCATAGAGAGAAACTATACCTTCGACTCCCTTTACAGTACATCTTTTTATGTTGGCAAACTAGGATCTTTAGTCAGAATTTTAACTTTTCTATTGACTAGCTGGTTAATTGTGTAAAATTAAAATTTCGAAGTACGTACTTTTAAAAGCCCTCCCCCTCCCCCCAGACGCTTTCGTACGCTTTTTAAAGACCTCCCCCTCCCCCTATGAGCGTACGTACTTTATGGACGACCCCTAAAGCAACTTTTCAGCGTGAAACTTAATATCGAAAAAGATAATAAAAATTGAACGAGCTCAAAAAAAAGGCGTAAGCGAACAGTTGCCCTAAAATTTCGTGATTATGAGGTCGAAAATATAGTATAAAAAAACAACAACAAGTAATGAAGAAGTAGTAACATTTTTATAAATGAAGATTTTTTTTTTTTTGTCACTATATATTTTACATACAATTAACTTTAATTCATGTATACATCTATAAATAAGATGAAAATTAAAATAATGACAAGAGCAAGTAGAAGATTGCAGTCTTTTCATCAAGCCCCTATCATTTGCGACTTTGCAATAAGT